TATATATATAAAAATATATAGTGCAGGTGTCTTCTCTGATTCGTGATGGACAAGTGTGCTTATCAGGCTTTGGCAATTCAAACAGATGTAAATTAGAATCATAGAATCTTTAAGGTTGGAAAAGACCTCTAAGACCATCAAGTCCAACCATCAACCCAACACCACCATGTCTACTAAACCACGTCCCAAAGTGCCACGTCTACATGGTTTTTGAATGCCTCCAGGGATGGTGACTCCACCACCTCTCCGGGCAGCCTGTTCCAATCCCTGACCACTCTTTTGGTGAAGAAATTTTTCCTAATCTCCAATCTAAATCTCCCCTGATGCAACTTGAGACCATTTCCTCTTGTCCTTTTGCTAGTTACTTGGAAGAAGAGACCAGCACCCACTTCACTACAACCTCCTTTGAGGTAGCTGTAGAGAGCGATAAGGTCTCTCCTCTTCCTCCTCAATTCCTCTGCACAGCTCAATTATAGGGTCTGAAGGAATAGTAGTACGTGTTCTCATTACAAGTTAAGAGTTGCAATATTGTTTTGTGGTGGACTAAGGACGGCATAATACATATAACGCTATAACTCCAAATCAGTTGCCTCTCAATAGTAATTGATCTCTCTATCTAAACCAGCTCATATCTGCTTTTGTGAGCACAAAAATTCTACACGTACTCTGTTAGGTGTTCTGGGTTACTGACAGTAGCAGAGAGCGCCAAAAACGGACATCGAATTGTTACCAGAAGATGCTCCCAAACCTCTGCTCCAATTTCACCACCAAGACAATGGACCTATGTTTTTGGGAAAAAAGATTAAAAGAAAAGAAGTTTTCCTTATCAAAGTGAACTCATAACAGGAGTTGTTTTGTGTTTTGCAAAATAGCAAAAGTTTGGCAAGATTGGTACTGAGTAATTCTTATGTTGTAGCGAATGAGCATGAGATCCAAATCAAATGTCTAGTAAACCCCTCTCCAGACTTCACTGGATAGAAAATTAGTTTAAATTTCAATACTACATTCACTGTTTGTATCCTAGATACTCACTGGCATCATTAGCAACTAATTCTATATACAACAAAGAATACAGTAGGAATTTTAAATTTAGCAAGATTAATCATTGACTTCTTCCCTGAAAAAATTGACAAATACCATATGGTGTGAAATGTTTATGATCCCAGTCTGAAATGCTCTATTTGTGCCACTGAGACTCAGTGGTGGTTTTTAGTTTTTCAGTTGATTGATTGGCTTGAGAGAATAAAGGAAGTTCCTGGTAGCTTTGACTGAACTGTATGTCCTCTTGAGGACTAACAGATTTTTAAGTTCTTTCTCTGGAGTACATAAAAACCATCAGTGAACAGGAAAAAGCAAGTCTGAAATAATATTTTTGAAAGTTGTTTTTTTTACCAGCAATAACGCATGTAATGAAAAATTGGAGTCACCAGCATCTTTCCTCAAGATTTTTTGTATATTTGTTCAATTGGTTACTATTAAAAGATGCTTACCTCGTCAAATATAACATATTGTATCCGTTTGGTCCATTTCTGGCAACGAGGAGACAGCATCAAGATTTCTAAACATTGAGGCACAGTCACTAGTATCTAAGAAGAAAGGTTAGTAAAGCATTATTTTCAAGTAAACTGATGAATCAACTATAAGTAGATTCTAGAGTTAAAAAGCATTCAAAAATGTATATGTATTTGATTTCAAGGTAAGCAAGAATGAATGAATGATTTGTGACTGCTATCTATCTTCAAGAAGGGCAAGAGAGAAGACCCAGGAAACTACAGGCTAGTCAGCCTCACCTTGATTCCCTGGGAAGGTGATGGAGCAACTAATCCTGGAAATAATTTCCAAGCACATGGAGAACAAGAAAATCATCTGGAGTATTCAGCATGAATTCACTGAGGGGAAGTCACACTTGACCAACCTTGAACAACTTCTATGATGAAATGACTGGTTTCGTAGATGAGAGGAGAACTGTGGATGTTGTCTTCAGTAAGGCTTTTGACAATGTCTCCCATAAGATACTCACAGACAAGCTATTGAAGTATGGGCCAGATGAGCAAATAGTGGTGAGGTGGACTGAAAACTGGTTGGAAGGCTGAGCCCAGAAGTTTGTGATTAGTGGTACAAAGTCTAGCTGGAGGTCAGTAACCTGGGGTCAATGGTGGGTCTGATCCTGTTTAACATCTTCATTAATGATCTGGATGATGGGGAAAAGTGTACCCTCAGCAGGTTTGCCAATGACACCAAACTGGGAGCAGTGGCTGATATGCCAGAGGGTCATGCTGCCATCCAGAGGAACCTAGACAGGCTGGAGAAATGGGCTGACAGGAACCTCATGAAGTTCAACAGGGAGATGTGCAAAGTCCTGCACCTGGGGAGGAACAATCCCATGCACCAGTGTATGCTGGGGGCCATCCAGCTGGGAAGCGGCTCTGCAGAAAAGGACCTCAGGGTCCTGGTGGACACCAAGTTGAACAAGCAGCAATGTGCCCTTGTGGCAAACGTGGCTAATGGTATCCTGAGCTGCATTAGGAGCAGTGTTACCAGCAAATCAAGGCAGGGGATCCTTCCCCTCTACTCAGCACTGATGAGGCCACACCTGGAGTCCTGTGTCCAGTTCTGGGCTCCCCACTACAAGAGAGACCAACCTAGTGGCCTTCTGTGATGGAGTGACTACATCAGTGGACAAGGGATGAGCTACTGATGTATTCTACCTGGACTACTGTAAGGCATCTGCTGGATGCTGGCAACCAAAGGATTTTAATGTTTTTTCTTTTAACAAGAGCAAGTAATCAACTGCACATCCCCTGAGGATGAATAGGTAAGGTTGTATGCCATAGACTCAGAGTTTCTGGTAAGCAGTACAGGTATGCTTAGATTTTTCCTGAACTTTGTATTTCGTAACGGCACAGTTGTTATAATCAGAATTAACATTTTCAGAAACCAAATGGAATACAGAAGTAATTATTAGGTGTTAAAACACCCATAAAATTATACCTGAGAATTCATGACATCATTGCGATAATCTCGCGTGAAGACTCCACACACTACCAATCCATCTGGAAGTTTCTTGGTGAATCGACTGTATATAGTTCCCACCACTTGGTTTACAAGGGCCTTAAATAAAGCAGGTCATTAACAAAACTAGACAGTGTCTTTCTAAAGGCATACAATATTCCAAGACATATGAAAGCATTCAATTTTAGCATTGATATTAATGTACTATGTAATGTACTATTAAGTCGAGACTGTCAACAACGTTAACTTGTAATATTTTGAAGATTTTTTGTAAACATGCTGTTTCGAATAAATGCAAATGTAAAACCAAACGTAGAGATTCCTTTTCTAATAAAAAGATATATATATATCAACTAAATTTGTGTAACAAGTTACCCTAAATAGTTTCAGAATCATACTGAGAAATAGCATAGTCATACATACACAATATGTAGTAGGATGCTTCCTTACCTTTGTAGGAGCAACATATACAACTACTCCATCATTGCTCATTTTCAGAACTTTTTCCATGCAATAGTATGATGCATATGTTTTTCCTGATGAAGTGGGAGCGACAATCACTGCAGACTCATTATTATCTACAGCATCGAGAAGTTCTCGCTAAGAGAAAATCAGTTACTTAGGTCAAAATGTCTTCTTATGAAGTTCTTATTGAATAAACCAGCTGTTTCTGTGAAAACATCTCTTATTTTTGCACGTAGACTTTATATAAAAGATTTTAGACTGCAGAAAGTTAGAGCTAACCTAGTCATTTTATGACTGTATTCTTCTCTCTTAAGCTGTTAGTGGGAAAAAAAATGGAACTACAAATTATAACTTGTCCATTTCAATTATTTGGTCTCAGATACTGATACCAGAACATTCTGAGTCCAAATCTGGACATTTTCAAATTAAAAATTAAAACCACTTAACTCAGCAGTGTGTAATTTAGTTCCAAAAACTTCATTGTTTTATACAAGGGAGTATTTTCTTCCTGCATTATAACAGTTACACCAATACTGTCAAAAATCTCTCTTCTGCTCCTTGCATATAGTGTTTATTAATCTGTTTTCTTCCCTATTATTGTCTTCCTCCATGCTCTATCACCTTACCTAGGTCTGTGAAAGGATGAAGCGGTACAGAAGAGGAAACAGAAATAGTACTAACACTATCTTTCTCTATCAGCACGTATGCCAAGTCCCAAGAAGTTTTTCAAGCAAGTGACTGTTTTGCAGATATGGACATGCAAAGCAGCAAATTCAGCTGGTCTCCTCAGTCCAATAAAAAAAAAAATAAATTCTGAGTTAGACTTACTCTGCTTTAGACAGAGGAGTTATTTCTCAACTCAAACTATGGGTAATTCTTTAGGGACAAATGAGCAGAGGATGAACAGACAGAGATTATCCAAATGGGGCATTACCACCAGCAAATATGATAATAAGCAGTGAAATCCCATGGATTCGGCATTTCTTATGCTGAATTCCTTGGGCCAAGCTGTCTGTAGAATAGCTCTCAGTGTAGAAAGAATATGGCATACAGTCCAAAGTGATCTATTGAATTTGTTAAACTTGTTAAAAAATTAAATTTGTTAAACGCTGTTCTTGGCAACTAGTATAATATGCATTTTTAAATGAAGAAAGATCATTTCCATTCAGTTTATGCAAAAAGTTTGTGTCTCATTACCTGCCATGTGTCTGGTATGAAATGTTGCACTCGGGGATCTGGATCATTTCTCTCTTCTCTGAGCAAGTAATAATCCATGTATTGTAGCTGAAAGCGAGCTGGACCCACTTCAATAGCATAATTGCTTATATTCTGATCATTATTTTCTCCTGTCTATAAGGTCAAACAAAAATCCAAGTTGGTTTGAAAGCTAGCAAGAGATTAAGAAAATGCCACATCTTTTGCTCTGTGGAAATCCACAAGCTTTGAAAAACATCCAAGTGCAGGTGATTTCTAAACAATTTCTTGCAGAAATCTACACCACATAGCCCTATGTCAGGGTTATGCTTGTATCTCTTCAAAGGAGACTATGTTCTAAAAGTAATGTCTTCCACAGCCGGTGGTGGTGTTGGTATCGTTTTTGTTGTCAGAAGAGCTAACAAAACTGGCTAGCAGGCAAAGCTCAGCCTCTTCAAGCTATTGCCTGCCAAAGCCTCCTCATCCTATATTTATATCTCTTCTTCAGCCTGCCCTGACCCCTTATGTAATGAATCACAGTTGCAAAAGGAAATTCAATATAAAGACTGTGATCCCAAAGAATTGTATTTTTAAACAATGTTTGTATACCCTAAGACATACCAAATCTAATGTTCATGGACCCATCTGGTTACAACATCTGATCCTGAAAGCTGTACAGAATAGCGTTACATGTGACAACATACACCAGAAACACATAATAATTTTGATTGTCTAGGATGTCTGGATGTCAATTAATCCAACTCACTGCCAGAGGCAGGTGCAATTAAATTAGGTCACTTAGGGCTGTGTTCAGCCAAGTCTTTACTGTCTCCGAGGATGGAGATTTCGCAACTTCATCAATTTCTTGAAAGAAATATTTTCAGTTATTCCTGAAAATTTCAGTTATTCCTAAAATTCCCTCAACTTTGCAAAAGTAAAAATCAGAAACAAGCAGCTGCAAAAACAAAAGTAGATGCAAAATGCACTGATGACTGATCTAGAGCCCTTTTGAGGGAGACATTAAACTTGTCAACATATCCCTTCTACCACCACAAACCTTTCTAACAGACCTTTTGAGATCCTTGGATCCTACAGTTCTGCTTCCTGAAACTTAATATACTCTATTTGGGGCACCAAACACCTTTACAATAACTATATAACCAAGAGCAAACAATCATCGTACACCAGTTGAATTCAAATAGAAAAAGAGACAAATAATTCCCACTCTTCCAGGGAAGGAAATTTCTTACAAAACAATCACTTCTCCTCCCTCACCTCTTAGTCCTGATCCTCAAGGAAGGATGATAATCACTTTCCAAAAATAAGCTTCCAAAAATTCTTAACTCTACCGTGCTGAAAAATGAGACACTGAAGTGATTGATACTGGTTTTATACTTCACTGTAATCTTCCTTCCTTTTGCTATTGACTCCATATTCTGCAGGCTGTGAGTTATATCCTCCCTCTTCTGCCTGACAGCCACTTTAGTATCCCCTCTCCCTAATAATATCCCATCTGCACGCAAAGGTATCAAACTGCTCTTAACACTAAATCAGACAGTGGGCAGGTTCCTAACATGCAGAAAAGCACAAGGTCAATCCTTAGAGAATTTACTTCAGAGCCAAATTCAGTGTAGCTACTGGTGGTCTCAGCTGTGCTAGCAAGGACAAGCAATTCAGTATCCGAAACTGTTTCCTTCAGAGGTGATCAGTCACACCATAACAACAAATAGAATAATTTTCATCCACCTTTGCAGTCTCAAAGATTTCCTTATCTAAAGTAGCACATTTGGGCCTGTTAGAGAGCAGGTGCTCATCACTTAGCTTTTAACAGTTATTTTTAACATGCAGAGTTCAGCTGATGCGATGAATCAAACAGCAGGTACCTCTGAGATGTCTAAGGCCTCAGGCAGACATAACTAGAGCAAATTAATCTTGATGCATGTTTCACAGGGTATCTTTGCAGCCATATAAAATTCTACTTACTAAAGGGGGAGTGGCCTATTGTGCCAGCTAGCCCTCACATCAAGTAAAGAAATGTATCCATGGAACTAAAGAAGATTAATATCTGAAGCAAGAATAGATAGTTCCAAATCTTACGGCACACTACAAAATACAATACGCTCAATATAGATCTTCTACATACTATTCAATGCTTAAGAAAACACTGTTGATATTCAGCTACAGATCCAGTTGCAGTCATTACAGTCATTACAGTCTATAAAGTTACCTGGCCAGATAGAGAGCATGCCAAATTCTCAAATCCAAGAAGTCTTAGATATCTGGTTAGCTTTTGTCGATGTGGTTTCTCCAAGAGATCTTGATATTTTTCAAGTAGGATATGAATTCTCCTCATGACATGAACAGCTTTGCTTAAATCTTTAGATTTGTTACCTGTAAAAAAAAAAAAAAAGCCTACAGTTATTTGAGAGCTAACTGTATCATTGGGAGTCTTCTGCTATTAGGTATTTTTAGAACAGACCTTATCTGTCCAACCACACCTATGACAACTTAAAAATTAATTTTATTTAAAGACAACTAAATGAAGACAACCCACATTCCTGTGACCTCCTCAAGGAGTGCCACTGAAGACCAAGCACCCAAATAATTCTATCTGCTTCTGCATGCTCAGCTATAAAAGGGGGTCATATTTCTGACGTCTACACAGTAACTGAGCTCCCTCATTTCACTTTCCTGGCCCACAAAGTTGTTACTCAATCTTATTAGCAACATATTTTGCTCCAATGTTTACAACTATGCTCAACACCTTCAGAGCAGTGTGTCTTTGGACGCTCCTGACTGAGGCTATGGATTAAGCAAGTTAATTCTGGTGAAGCAGGAGGCCACGAACCATGATAGCACAGATTTCATCATTCAGTTACAATCTAATTTGATTGGATACTTTCCAGCTGACTCAAAGAGTCTTGAAATTGCAAAAGGGGACCAGAGCCTGATAATATTTAAAAACACCTTTCATGCTCCTGAAGCAGGGCTGTATTTACATGTCTTTACCCCAGCTGAGAATGTCTAAAGTCACTCACTCTTGGTTAAAGGGAGTGGAAGTTAAATACTGATCATGAGTTTGGCTACCATACCTTGCTCTCTACAGTGTTCCTTCCACACTTCTAAACAGGCAGAGAGTCCTGTCATTTCTACACTGAACTTCACAGATTTACTTTTAAGGGTCTTGAGAAACTTCTCCAATTTATTTATTCCAACAGTCAGATTTGCTTTTATTTCCTTTTCAGTTGGTATACATAAGGCTTTCCATTGCTCCTGTTCTTTCTGTTCTTCTTTAATTTTTAGTCGCCTGTTGTTTTCCTCTGCAATTGTTTCCGCTTTACTTTTCTGTCCAACAAAATGAAGATATTTAAACAAACCATCACTGTGTGCAAGCATCACCTAAAAAAAGGTTAATCCATAAACTCAATCACAGCAGGTACATTATAGTTTTCAATTCATCTGTGTGATGCATTGTGTTTTGGGAATTGTTTGAAATAGTACTTCATTATGAAGGAGATGATAGATATAATTTCTGAATCAAAATATGTTGCTTGAAAGAGCTTCCCTAACCTTCATTTTAAGTCAGTATAAAGCATCACAAGTAGTATAAAAAAAGCACAAATGTGGAAAAATAAAATAGCAGATGTCTGAAAGTTAAATTTCAGGCTTTTATTTTATACATGGGTAATAGTAATTCTGATCATATTGAGATGCTTTTCAATAAGTTAAATAAGATTCAGAGTTCAACCTTACTTGAAGTTAAAGTTATTTTATATACAGACTTTTACAGGTAATTCAACAGGCCATAATCATTAATCCATAATACAGTCTATTATGAAATACTACTCAAATTACTATTGCTCAGTATTGTCAGCGAGTATGCAAGTACAGGCTACATACACTGTGATGTCTGAAAATGTTCACATAGTTAGGATTAATTGCAATACCTACAGGATCTTTCACACAGAACATTTCCAAATAGTGCAGGGAAATAAATAACTGAATAATGTGTTTTCCAGTATTTCTCAATAGTTTCTTATAGTAAAATTAAATTCATGAACTCCAGTTTCCTTCACTCCACATCATAATACTGGGCATGAGCCAAAAACCTATCAGCCTTTACAGAGCTCATATTTATTAATGTTTTTTTATTTACTTGTGCCTGTTAAAATATAATCACTCATCAGTATTCCTAACTAGGAACAAAAATACTTTTTCCAATCAGCTAAATAAATTTGAAGTGCAAAGGCAATTTAAATTTCTTCACCTGAGAACTCCTAGTACATTCAGAATATAAAAGTTCAGCTGTGGGACTTATAGTAGAAATCCTTTCCTGGATAAGAGAAAAAAAGATTTGGAAAGACCAACTTAAATATACTCACATGCTTTTTTTGTGTCTTTTTGACAGCAGCATTAGCATTCCGTGCCACATCCTCTTGATGTACAATAAGTTTTGAAGTGCTGTCTTCCAAAGTGCTTCCATAAAAGTGACGAAAAGTCTGTAACTTTTGTATTTGTCTTCTTTCTTTTGGATCTTTGGATTTTGCTGCAAATAAATATAATTGATTAAAAAAAATGCTCTGACAGAATTCCAGCCTGATCTATTTTCAAGAAAAGATACCTGGGTAATGGAAAAAATTCCTAAAAATACCTCATTGACCTAAAGGCCAAAATCACATTTTGAAAGAGGCTGGCTACTGAAACTCACTGAAATCCAACAGTACTTTGAATTATCTGAGAGACAGTCAATAGACTCAAATTCAGAATACTTTAGACACACATTAAAAATATTGTAAAACTTAACAAGCCAGGATGCCTGGAAAGAAATTATAACTGTTCGAGCAAAATGCCTAGACTTCTCACACAGTCCATGAAAATAGGAAAGTGCCTCCCAAAGGCAATTCAGATGATCAGAAAGAGACCTCTTCCCCATGAAAACAAGACTCTGCTATCAGAACATAAATAAATAAAGCTGCTGGAAGAACACTTATGCTAGCCAATGGAAGGTACTGAACTGAGCACATGGATACTTCCACACTCAAGCCTAGGTATTTCCCTCTGCCCTAAAATCAAAATTACTCAGTTTCTGAGTGTGAAGATCCATCCCAGAAGATCCATCCCAGAAGATCTTTCTGGTTTTCACAAGAAAGACTGAGATGACACATGCCAGCATTCAGAGTATTCATGCAAGGCACAGGAGAGAGAAGGCCCTCTCTCCAGTGAACATAAACCTTCAACTCCAACATTATGGAAGGTGCTCTAGCTACTATTCCACAGGTTATGCTCTCCAAACTTCTTCCCACTGAAATCAGTGCACGGAAGAATGAAAAATATCATCCTGTCAGAAAGATGAGCAGATGGAACCCTGATTTCATATGTCAAGTGGTGCAAATACCCACTCAGGAAACAACATTTCTAAGTGACTGAATTCTGTTATACTCCTTAGAGCTATTTAAGTTAATACACAATGCATAAACATAAAGCACAGGCACATCAGTTTAAGTATAATTTAGCTATTGCAGTAGCTCTAGTTTGGCAAGTATTTATACAGTTGCAAATATTTTCTGAAATGAGAACTCCTTCTCCAAAACCACAATAACCTTTATAATACTGTTCTAGCCAACAGGTGGGCCTTATTTTTCTTACCATCAGCATAGCACTGTACTCGCTCATATTCCTCAGTCAAAGGTCTGCCAGAGTGCCAGTGACAAAGCTCATCAAACTCCTTGTATTTAGTAAATGAAGTAACTGCAGGATCATTGCTGAAACATACAAATGTTAAAAGGAGCAGAAATTAAAAGCAGTTTCCAGCATCTCTAATGAAACATTCAAAAACCTGGCTATTTATCAAAACACAATTTTACTGTGGCAGAAAAGCAGCATAGGTTTTAATTCTATTACAAATACGGTTTGTCAAGATAGTCTCAGTTTTTCACAAAGAATTACTAGCAAACAAAGTAAACCCCCATTTTTTCAGTTATTTTCACACAGATTAATTGCAGAATGCAATGTAACTACATAACTCACACACTGGCTAAAAAATACTCATTGTGCAGCAGAGAACCCACTTCCACAAGTAGCAGAGCAAATGTAAAGGATAATCTCTTCCTACTTTATTTTCAATATTTTTATTTAATGTTTTTCTTTTCCTGAAATCAATTGGAGCTTTGCAATTTAGTATAAGGCCTTTCAGAAAAAATTGTACACTTAGAAAAACAGTTCCAAAATGTAGAAGAATCAAAGTCTATAATGTAAACAAATAACTGTATGAAAAAATATGGATATATTGACTCTTATCCGTTCTTGTTCTGAACTTTCTGTTAATATTTACACCAGTACACATAAATTGTGCAATTTCACCCAGTCATAGCAAAAGCACTTTTACATTTGTACAAATTGAGCATAATATGGATGTAAAGTGCAGGGGAATAGAAGATAAGCCCATATAATGTTATTATAATGAAATAAAACTCATATATGTACCTTTCTAAAACAGGCAGGTCTTTCAAAATATCGCCAGCATATTCTTCAACAAGATCAGATTTCACTGAGATTAGTCCAATGTTAGGAATTTCTTCTTTATAGTCTTTAAAGTGTAAAAAATAATTAATATTGTTTATTTAGGAATATATCTAATTGCATATCATACTTGAAAATTCTGTCAAGTTACATTATAAATGAAATTCAGTAAAGTAAAATTTGCTAAAAGTAAGCAGCAGTTCACTAGTTCCCCTTTTCCTGTTTCTTCTTGAGCATAGGAAGAATAATGAAGCAGACATCATTATTGCTTCCAAGTAGATATTCTCATAATCCATTTTAGACACCTACGTTAACTTTTTGAATGCTACAACCCATCCCATTTCATAGGCATGTACTTTCCTGCACTGATTCTATAAAGACCACAGTCTCGTAAACATGCACTTTCAACTGCACTTACATTAGATGACTAAAGATGACTTGTAACATTGCACATCCTTCCCACGTTTGAAGTCTAGCCACAACTTCAGTCTTCAAGGTTTCCAAACGAGATACAGAAATAGGCAACAAATGCTGTGCCAGAAGATGCCTTAATATCCCACAGATAACAAAGAAACTGTCTTTTTTGCCCAGTAGAGCCCACTTTGCTGACTTGACATCTTTGAAACCAGCTGAAGAATACTCAGTAGAATTATATTCCAGCCTTTACCAAATTTCTCTTCTAAAGATTTATACAATTTGATAGGTTTAAAACAAACATTTCAAGGTTGTAATAAAACTGCTTCTCAAGAAAAGTCAGGTATCAGGCAAAAATCTCTACCTACTCTTTTCAAATGTTCAGAACAGGCTTAGTAAGCGAGGGAAGAAAACATTTTCTAACCCAACTATGCACTTCTCCAATTATGGGCTACTAAACCGGATGATAGAGTAATTTAAGGCACTTACCAGCAAAACACATTTCTACCATCTTCAAGGACTGCAATGCAAGCTACAGTGATGGCTGGACTTTCTACCAGTAGGGCAACAATTCTATATTTCACTTAATTCGCTGCTCCCATGCCCAATACCTTCATAACCCCACATCAACATGTACAAAGATGCTCTTGAGAGACAGTCTTCCTGCAGCGTAATTGTTCTTTTAATTATAAGTAATTATTATGCTTTTTACTATTATTTATATTACACTAATCATAACGGTTTTTACAATACATACAATAGATTCGGGCTAGCTATCATGGAACTAAACCCAATTCCTACTAAGTCAATAACAATACTTGTGCTGTCTACAGTCAGAATTTCACCCATGAGGCCTGGTCAGACTTATTTTGGCATCAGCTGCAAGTTTTGGTAGTGGGTTGAAAGGAAGGAGAAAAGGATCCATGAAGCATGGATTAGATTTGTGATCAGGACAAAATCAGATCATTACTACTAGAACTTTTAGAGATAGCAATGAAGATCATGCTTCTAACTATCTAATTTGTTGAGTTGTTAGTACCTCTAAATAATGTCGATTCTCGTTCAAGAAATAGTTGGGAGGTCTTTCGTAGTGGGAAAGCATCTCCAAAACTGTATTTCACAGCCAATTTTGTTACAGTGTTCCATAAACATTGGTATTCATTCTCTATTTCTTTCCCCAATTCCTTTTCGAACTCTAATCCTGCACAGGGAAAAAAGAAAGAAAGAAGAAAGAAAAAGAAAGGTGCTCTAAAATTAAAAGCTTCCTCAAACAGAACCTACGTATTCAACTATGTAGCATCAGGCACAAAGACTTCAGTCTTATCCAAGGCCTTTAGAATAGAATGTTGTACACTCACAGTTTTTAATACCCCAGGGTATAAATAACTAAATGTACTGAGAAGATCTATTTTGGAAAAACCACCAGATTTAGACTGTGGAAGTCTGCAAGCTCCACAGCTAAAGAAGTGTTTCTCTCACCTTTGCCTCCTGCTGGGTAGAATTGCTAATTTTCTTTTTAGTGCCCAATAATAGGTATTATTATAAAAATAAATGTTTCAGATTCCTAATTTATATTTCCTTTAAAAATTCCTCTACACTTGCTTTACAGAGGTACATACAGGACACCTTGTGACTGGATTCATAAAGAAAAGGTTCTGGTTTACTATCAGACTCATGGCAGAGGATTTCAGGTAAACAGAATTATTCTGAAAGAACATTACCTACAAATCTTTTTCCACACTTTCTTGCTCTGTGAGCTTTTGTAACTTTTTAGTAAGTCTTAACACATCTGATGGTGTTCTTAAAGCTCCAGCTCCCAAATTCATGTATTTATAAGACAATATATGATTTTGTCTAAATCAATCTCATCTGGAATTAAAATTATCCAATGTCACAGTGACAGCAGGGGTAGAATCTAGTTTCCATTCTGACTGTGTTGCACTAAGACAAAATGAAATTAAGAGAAAATTGGTTAAAAACCAGAGTTGAGAATCCCCAGTAACAGTGACCCGGAGCTCTTACTGCCTATGCTATATCACTCTTCCTTTGCATAAGTACAGGTGGCACATCACAGATATGACATGGTAAAGTATTCTGAATGAGTACTGGTGAAAGACACTTTCATATCTGATTTTCTAGACTTGGCTATAGAAAAAAGTTTCCCTATTATTCCATAAAAGGTATCCATTATTATATGGGTAATTAGATAATTGTGCTCATTTCTGCTCGTACAAGCAGTTTCATTCTCATTTTGTAGCTTAAGATTGGAAATGTAAGAAAGAAAACTATTAAACAAAGATAAATACCTTTAGTGTATTCGACCTCATAGTAATGTGCAAGATTTATAAGCAGTGAATCATCATTTAAGTCTGGCAGGTAAGTTAAATCCAATTTCCAATCATTTGTATCACTTAGCTGTGTCAGAGCAAAATGCGTACACAACTGTTGCTGTTAAATAAAGCAAACAATTAATTCTTATGGAGCACCTTTTCATGCGGAGGGATCAAAGCATCTCCAAAGCAAGGTTAACTACCACACATTTTATTGACATGAAAAACAACACACTGTTACTTAACTTCTCTGTGATCAGGAAACTGCTTTCACCTTTCTCCTTCACTGTAATAACCAACTTTAAACAATAAAAAGTCCTGCCATCAGACTTCCCATACTGGATGAAACCAAAATGTCCATTTAGCCCAGTACCCTAACAAACACTGGCTAACTGGAGATGTCTAAGAAGAGGTCAAGTATAGAAATATTGCCCCAAACATTCTCCTAGCTCCACTGATTAGTGGCTCACAAGATTCCTGAACCAGGTAAGTTTTGTTTCCAGCAGGTATATTACATTCTTTGATCTCATCAGATGACTAAAGTAGCATATAAAGGAAAATGAAAACTGAAATGACAATTGCACCTGATGCCAGGGGAAGTAAGACAGTGCTACACATACCATTTTTATTAATGGTAAAACTTGCTGAGTCCAGAAGAAGTTCATGATCCTAATCTGAGCTCTCTGTGCAAGAGGCATATGAAGAAGAAAAGCCACTGTAAGACATTGCATTCTACAGAGGTCTGCTGCTTCTTCTGGAGACAGGGGTTTACTTCTTCCCTGTTGAGAGATGACAGATAAAAAGTTAACCACACCCTTCAGTAAAATAATTGTGTTCACCTCTACTTAATTCAGTGGTTTGCACTTTGTTATTTAAACAATTTGTATATTGTAATTACTTGTGGATACACTCACTTCAAAACGAACATTCTTGTAGTACTGGTGGATGTAGATCAGTTATAATGTAAAAAAAAAAATCTTCTGAAAATATGATTATGAAAATCAAGACAAAACTTAAAACCAATTGTCAGTGTGTCTGGCTAGAAGTGTTACTATTTTAGGAGGTAAAGTTAATATCTAGATATAAGCCCATGCTCTTTTCTCAACTGCACAGCAAAAAGTCTGCACAGAAATCCAGCTATGCTAACTACTCATGGCTATCCTGTAGTCCACTGAATAGGTGTGTCAAAATATTACTGATATATTGCATCTGTGTTAACTTGATGAAAATAAGGCTTGTAGTATGGTCACAAAAATGATGTCACAACTGCATCTAGAAAGAAACCTTTTTTCTGAAATGCCTTGCTAACTTGAGCAAAAGCTAGTATGTGACTGAACGTTAGGAAAAGAAAAATAATGAGCGCAACTGTCTTCTAAGGTAAAAATTCTTATGGAATTAATTGTTCCTAAGGTAAAACTTCCCTCAGGAACAGCCTCAGCAGCAGGGGGCATGGAACTGCCCACAGACAGACCATGCTCCTTTGGAAAAGCTGTGGCCACAGTAATTACCTGAACCAGACCACTTACAGAGTGCAGCTGGGCCTCTCTTCAACTTGGGATCTAGGACGGTCATCTCTCCTGTTAGCAAAATGTTGACGGTCACTGTGCTGAAAAAAATACTAAAAAAATTCTTACTCTTGCTGATTGCTCTGTCTTTGCTCCCATGGAAGTATTTGCATTGTCCAGCATGTTGCTATATATTTTTAATCCCACGGCACAAGCAAGGACACAGACCACACGCCGGATGTCAGATCCTTCAGGCCACAGTTGTTTCAACAGACAGACAGTCTGGTGAACCTGTAGTCATAACATTATGAATAGCACAAATGACCGCTAAAATAAAAATTACCAAAAAAACGCACAAGTCTTATCCTTTACAGAGTTCCATCAGAGAAGGAAAAAAAAAGATATGAAAACCATAGAAGGAAAAAGGGACACAATCATTAGTAAAAATAGCTTTTTTGTCACGTCCCTGAGGGCACCAACAGCCCAGACTGTCCCTGTCCAATCCCAGGGCCCCATTTCAGCTCATCAGCACCATCAGTCCCTGCCTCAGCGATGCTGCAGCAGTGCCAGTCTCCAGCTCCCCATAGCGCAGCAGGCTGACAACCCAGTCTGGCCTCAGCCCGTTCCCGCGGAGGTGCCCAATGCCCAGGGTTCAGCTGCCCCTCCAGCTGCCTTGCTCCTGGCTGGGGCAGTGGGACAGGCCCTGGCTATCAGGCCCTGCCCTACCACCTCCAGGGCAGCTCCCATGGCCCCGGCCCCCAGGGAGAAGGCACCTGCCCTTGCTGCGCCCTGATGTTTTTCTGCTCCTAGGGTATCTGATTATTGAACTTGCCTCAGGAAAGATAATCATAATCAACCAAAATATTAGCAGTAGCCAGGCAGCTGTTTTTCTACTGACTTTAAAATGCTAAGCAACTCCATTTTTTTCCAGACTGAAAAAAATCAGCTTGCTGGACCAGTATCATTCCCACTGCAGTCCAGGGAAGCCTTGCTGCTGTTCTCTGCAGGAGCAGAAGTACAGTCACAACACTGCAGTGTAACTTAACACTCAGAAAAATGGCAGGGGTATATTAGGAACTGAAGGTATAACATACACATAGAAATACCAAAATTTTAAGGTTAAAATATTGTAAAATGAGATTAATGAATCCATCGCTTTAATCATGCAGCCACAGACCTTGCAACTGTAATCAAGCTCTTAGGAAAAAAAAATCCCAGATTGCAAACACTTTTACAGTTAACAGAGTGTGCAAGCCTTGGCAGCTGCAACAGAGAGATTTAGATTTTGAGATGTCTCTACAGACAAGGTTGCTGCTGGCAACAGCACCAACTCTTGCCCGCCACTGCTGAATGTACCATCCCACACCCTGCCCTCAGGAGCCGGCTGCTGCCGCGGGGCTGAGGCAATGGCCACAGTGCTCCCGCAGGGTAGAAGCCACAGCCCCCCAGGTGGCTAAGGGTGGGTTCATGCCACAGATGGTGTTTTCTGCTGAATGGGCTGGTTCCCATCTACTACAAGATAAAGGCAGTTGCCAAGATGGAAACTTCCCTTAAGTGACATCCCACCGATCAGCTTCTGGCTGAACCATCCTATTTTAGTGAACTTTAAAGAAAGAAACAGCTTCAAGCTGCTGTAAAGAAGACTGGGCACAGAGGAGACCTTCTCAGACTCAAGGGGTCATTTCAGGATAAGGAAGAGAGACTCACTTCTGGCTAGGAAAGAATTTCAGGTAAAGGAATGGAGGAAGACAGTCAACCTGAGGAGAAAAAAAAGAAAGAGGATCAAAGAAGTCCAATTACCTCTTTTTGTATGCTTTTCAGGCTCAGCTTGAGATGTTCATATAGACACATGAATAGTTCTTTGTACCTGACTAGGTTTTCACAGGCATATCGTAGATCTTGTTCATACTAAGAAGTGCAGAAGTCAAAGTCGTCAAAAGTAAATAGATAGATACAATGCATCAGGGACTACTAGCCACTGACAGAAACCATTTAGATATATAACAATCCTCAGCCTCCAAGAAACATCTCTTCTATATAAAACTCCTTTAAAAACCCACATCCCTGGCCTAAATGCTAGTTTTGTTCGGCATATTACAAGTCAGCTAAGACATATGATACTGAAGATACAGGAAAGGCTGTATCTGAGCCTACCACATCTTAAGTGAACAAGGATGGAAAATGAAACTAGAGAACAGGGCAGGAATTTGCCACCAATCACAATGTTTGCCTGTTAAGGATTTCAAGACTAGTAGATCAAAGATACATAAAATGAGCCACGTATCAGTCATATGAGCCATATATCTTACACATACAATATAATATTTATATTGAGATATTTTAATTAAATCTGCTAAGTAGAACTAACATCATTATTGCAAACCAACAACAAAGCTGTGTAACATACCTTTTGAAAAAATAATCTGTGTTTATACACACTCTGAACATGATATCCATAAACTCTAAGAATATCATACTCCTGTCCTGAAGCAAGCACAATGTTGATTTTCTTTGACAATGAATGAGCAATTAAAATAGATAGATAGTCTGTTTGGAGAGAGGTCAGTCCTATGTCAGATACAACGATGAAGTAAGGATAGTTTTTCCTCAGAAAAATCTCCCATTTGGATGATAAACAATTGGAAAATTCTGTATGAATGGTGGTGCCTGTGTTATGCCTCAGGTGTTCTATTAATGCAGTACGTAAGAAAAGACAATGAGGATATGGAAGGTACATCTGTTCTGCATCCTATGGGAAATAAAAGCAATGAAATTATTCAGTTACATTTGTTGACACAATTAACAGTTTCCTAATTCTGATTAGAATCAAGCAGTTGATTTTGAAGGAGTGCAGTGGTTTAAACAGTACACAAGTGTTACTCGTTCAGTACCTTGAAGAAAACAATGACGTATTTTGCTCCTTTTTCAGTGAAATCCTGCAGGAAGCATTCAATTTGGTAGAAGTAGTTTAGATATTGTGTTTTCTCATCTAAAAACGTAAGTAGTAAGGAATCCCCATCTATCACAAAGAATTCAGACTCAACAAAGTCTTTTAACAGACTAACATACCTGAAAGAAAAAGGAATAGCATGTACGTTACATTACTCCAAGAAAAGTTGGGGACATGGAACAGAAGAAATTTGCTTACTAATAGATTTTAAAATAAATGTTTTTGTTAATTAAATCAACTAAACATTAAATGTATAAATTTATTCAATAGCAAACCATCTTTCTTGGATCTAAGGTTAGTCCTAAATAGCTTGCAATCCTTTCAGTTATTCAATGTAATAGCAATTGTCTCCTTTACAACTGCGGATACTTTTGCAGCATCTGAGGCTTCTGTGACTTACATGGCACCTCTTGTCCATGTCTTCTTATGCAGACAGGTGACGAGCACATAGCATCTTTCTCTAAGGGGTACTACACTGTGATGTCTACTTAGTTCAAAGAAACTATTTCTATTACCATTTATTACATTTCTTTCCATGAACCCCATTGTACTTACTGAGCTCTTGATAGAGATGCCCAAATGTGTAGCCTCAACTTCTCCAGAACTTCAACATGTTTTCTTATTTCTAAAATAACCACATACATGGTTATTGATAGAACCATATAACCATAACTCATCAATTAATTACAAAAGAGCCAAAAGGTAAGACACTGCAATAAAACTCACAGACACAATCATAAACTAATTAACAGCTCCTCACCAGGGCTTTGGGAATCACATTCATGCTGGAGAATTCTGAAATCCTTGCTTTCAGTTTGTGATGCCTGCTCTGTCACTTCTTCAGTGGTCGAGAAACCGTAAGTGTTACTGTAATCTGGGTCTTCGGCTTCTTTTTCTCTGTCTTCTTCCTCTTTAAGCAACTGTGTTACAGCTGCTTCAGCTCTGTCACTGATCTCATCCTCCTTATCACTGTCACTTGTACTCTCACTCTCTTTATCTTCCTTTGTTGGAATCAAGCCTACTTTCTCACTGTCACTACACTCACTATCCTTATCATCATTACTAGCATTCTCATTTGCATCATTATGAAGGACTTTCTTGAAATTGCCTTCTGCAGAATCCATCACAAATCTTGATTCTGGCATCGGAAAAAAAGAAAACCCTAAGTAATCAAGAGAAAATTTTCAGGAAATATGGTATGCTCTGAGGCTTCAATCATTAAATTATCTACTTCATAATCATACTGGAATAAAATTTTAAGAAAAATCAGAAAGTATTTTGTGACAACCCCATATCTTAATTTTTAAATCAATAAATATTTTTATGAACTATACAGATAAAACAGCTTTTGTCTTTCTTAAAGTTTACTAAAGAGGAGCATTACATATCTGTTTTGTGCTTTGCATGAAGGGACCCTTGGGGCAGGGGTTAGCCATACTTTGCTATATTAGCTATAGCTACATGGCACACTCCAAGGAATGATCCATGTTTCCTGGTTCAAGTGACTTGTACCCACACAGTTCATGCTAGTTCAGTCACAAATAGGCACACTACACCACCTTCATTGCATGATAAGGGTAATCATGGTTTGGTATCAATCCCACTTTTTAATTCAGTTAGTCTTATAACCTTTCTTAAAACCTTTCTTTAAAAACTAACAAAAGAAACTAAAGTGCAACCTCCATTTTTCAGATTTCACAAACTCAAAACTAAGCTGCAATTTTCTTTTTGATTTTCACCTTGCATTAGTTTAAACTCCTAGCAAATGAATTTGCAGAAAAAAGAAACAAAAATACATTTTTATTATCTACTTGTAAAACAGTCACAGTGTGCTACATTACAGTGGTGTGCTTAACGTAACTTTAAAGTTGAACTTTAAAACCTATTTTCCTGAAATTTATATACATACAGCTATTTATATACATACAGCTACAGAAAATCACCTTTTGTGTACCTGCATATGTACTTTTTTGTCAAGGCAAAATAAACCTGAGACTTTTCTCCATTTTCTTATCTAAATTGAAAAAGCTGCATCTAAGGCTTGAGAACACCATTCTGGGATGAATCGTGTATTTTTGCATGCTAAAATTGTCACTTACCTAGAAAATGGTCATCACTACTTCAGCAATCTCCTAAGCAAGCGTCACTTTCGATATCTGAAAATTTAAAGTTAGCCATTCCCAAAGAAAGCAAAACTATCTGTACATACTCATGTATGGGACTGCTGTATTTCCTTTCAAAAACAAGGTTTTAATTCTTTGCTACATCAGTGCTTTTCTGCAGTGCACACACTAACATCTGAGATGCCTGGGGCTACAGTGTAGGCAGAGGCAGCCAGGTAGCTTTGACACCCTGCCAGCACTCCTGCTGCCCCTCCACCCTTTACTGCCTGCAGGGTTCCAGATGTTGCCCTGCTGCAAGCTGTCCAGCCACCTCGTCCATCCCTAAGCCAACTGCAACCCTGACGCAAACCCCAACCCCAGCTCTAGCACCATGCCTAAACCCAACCACCGCCCCCTCCCCCAGACCTAAACCCAAACCTAATCCCAGTTTCAGTCCCAACTCCCACCCTAAAGGCAACTCTAACCATAATTTCTAACATAGCCTGGACCCAGACAGTACCTGCCGCCGCTGCCCGCTCCGGCTCTGCTGCCACCCCACCTTTAAGGTGCCACCGGCGGGCGGTCCCAGGTTTGGGCCCTGCCACTGCCCATCCCACAGCTTTCACTTTCCATTCCCAGCGTTGCCTGGGTGCCAAGTTCAGGCTTCATTTCCAAGGTGCCGGGAGAACTGTGTCCCTGAACACAGCACTGCAAAGGATCACCACTATTTCCTTCCTTCCATGAAATTATGTTTTTCAGTCATGGTGGCTTCTGCTAATGGTCCAAGAGCCATTAAGCCTGCATTGCTTAAGAATACTGTTAATGCAGATTGCATTATATAGTGCAGAAAAATATTAATTCCTATTTCTGTCCCTTTATTCACCACAATCTATTCTTCTAGCAGCCTGCTTTCTTAAAGTAGCAAATTCTTTAGATATACTTTGCATAACTTTTTAGCATTTGAAGCAAATTCTTTAGCAGGAACAGTACTGGACCCCTATCACTTAAAATTAGCAAAGCCTTGCTTCACAAGGAACGTGGGTACCGAAGTATTGTCGAAACAACATTTAGGAAAACAGAGTTCATGTATCAAATTGTCTTGGTGAGAAGTGAAAAGCCCAGCTCCTCTTTAGATCAAATACTTGTACAGGATACAGCACAGAAAACCACTGGGGTTACATATGTAAGTAGTCTCCTCAGGGATCCAGGTAGGTTTTCAACAGCCTCCCTGGACAGCTGACACATAACACTTGCCATTAAGCAGATCAGAGGTCTTTTCCACATCCTGCATTTCCTTTGAGACCTGTACGAAGATTCCAGGAACTCAGGAGAACAGTATCTTTTACAGTACAGTAACACACCCACAGTGCTCCAGCTTATCAGATTTGCTTTGTTTAGCTAGCCACGATAAGCCCCTGCTCCTCCTCTCAGCACACTTTTTCTTGGGTAGGTAACAAGATGGGAAATAACTGAAACTCTTTATTTCCTTTCCTCAAATTAAATGGGAGATGATCTTTAGCCCAATACTTCAACAGATTTTAGTATAACTTTTATTTAGGTCCTGAAGATGGACCTTTAGATTCAATTAATTCTCTGTCCCTTTGGATGATGCATTTTGGTTCAGAGGAGTGTATTTTAGGTCTGCTGTTCACTTGACTCAAAAGCAGATCAGACACTTTACTTTCCTGAGGAAGCTGGTGCCACCTCCACAAAAACATACTTAAGATAGAGCAAAAACATGACTCAGGTGGGAGTATGGGAGGAAAAAAACCCATGAGAATGAGAAACACTAGTGCAAACACCAAGGTCAGGTCCCTCCATGGAGGACCCTATGCTGAAGCAGGTAGATATGCCCTGAAAGAACTGCAGCCTGTGGAAAGCCCACATTGGAGCGGGTTTATCCTGAAGGACTGCAGCCCATAGAGAGGGTTCACACTGGAGAAGGGGTAAAGTGTTAAGAGAAACTGTTATGTCCTAAACCCCCAACCCTCATACCCTCTGTACTGCTCAGGGAATGGGGAGGGACAAAGAAGTCAAGAACAAAGGAGTGCAGATGACCTGGAAAGAGGAGAGTGGGAAGAAGGTGGTGTTTAAAATTTTTAAAATTATTTTTTGTTTCTCACTACCAAAATCTATTTTAATTGGCAATAAATTAAATTACTTTTCCCCAAGTCAAGTCTGTTTTGCCTGTGATGGTAACTGGTAAGTAGTATCCCCGTCTTTGTGTTGACCCATAAGCTATTTTCTCCCCCTTCCTGTTGAGGAATGGGAGTGACAGAAGAGCTAGGTAAGCATCTGGCAGTTGGCCAGCATCAACCCACCACACTCTTTTAGATGTCTCTAAATAATGCATGAGGCAAAGAGGGAAGGGGTAGAGATAGGTGCTTGAGATGAGGATCTGAGACAGCCATTCTTTCAAGCATGAATCAAAGTGCCTAAAATCATCGAGCAGTTGGCAGTAACCATCTAATACAGGGAGAAACAGCTGCAGGAATTTTAACTTGAGACATTTTATGAAGGGGAAATTCAAATTGTAACTGCTCGGCAATGGTAAGTGGAGACCAAGGAATGACCTGGTCCTGGCAGTAGGAATGCCTAACTCCAGAACCAGGTTAAACAATAGAAACAGGA